CCCCAAAACCCCAAAACCCCAAAACCCCAAAACCCCAGTCTAGTGATGCTCAATTGAATAAAATTATCAAAAAATATAATAAAATGGCATTTTTGGAAAACCTTCTTGGCAAATTATTAAAGAAAATGTAGTAGAAATTTGTACATTTATCTTAAAAGAAATGAATTACTCTTCTCTCTATGACTCACCTGTTCCAGGTGAGCAAATCTTTGCTGTTGGTCTCAAGCGAAGCTTGCTTTTTCTAGAAGAGATTAGGATTCCAAAGATTCCACGAATTAGGAAAAGTCTTGCAGCAATTTTTTATGAAGGTTGATAAGAAAAGAATTCCTACTCAGTTGATTCAATACTTCAAGATTCTGCTGAACTCTTGGATTTTTTGTATATCTTCGAATAGTTTTAATTCACTTGATAGTTTTCTGACGGAAATCTAATTCACTCTTAACAGATCCTTTAGAACTAGAGCTGCGTGACAGTTCCTCAATACCCGGAGTCCCTACTTTCAAAATACTCTTTGCCAAGTCCTTGGAACTTTGAGTAGATGTTCTATCTTCCCCTTCTCTATAGCAATGATCAGCTTTTTATATCCCAAATTTACAACTTTTTACAAAATCCTGAGAAAATTGCCATTGAGTAATAACATCCCAGTTGAGAAAAGCCTCAGATAATTCCTGCAGAAATAATTGTTCAGGTCTTTAATAGCCTTAAGACACATAATTAATTGACTCCAAGATTATGCTTGAAAACAACTGATTAACTATATCTATGCAGTGCATAAATTATTTGATGCATAACATATTTAGTTATTTCCTTAAGTAGAGAGAGTTTAGAACTTGCTCTTTGTGTGCAGGCATCCTCTAGCAGAGACTTCAACCTGATTAGGGGTAGGTGAGCATATAATAACTTTGGGTAAAAAGGATTTGGAGGGTGATTATTCATTTAAAAGAGATAATGGTACAACTTGATGCTGGGTCGTGTTTAGTGCATCCTAAATCATTAGGGTTCAGCATTGAGCTTTGTTTCTACTCCTCCTATCTAGGACAGAATTAGACTTTCGGTTATTCTCTCTGCGTATAGTAAGAAAATGTAAAATTCTTTACCTCACAACTCATTTTGAATCTGATATCTATCATGAACAAAAATATTATCATTTTCTCCAATACACTCAGAAAAAGTTTGGAGGACAAGCTTGGTTCTTGAGTTTATTTAGTAGCCCTTTAAAAAAATGTCTGAGTATATCTTTACATTTAATTGTTAGGTCGGGATTCATTTCAGATGAGAACTGGGAATTCAAAATTGGATGATCTCTCCAATATTTACAAAGCACAAGTGTTCATTACCGAGTTAAAATCTACAGGAAAAAACTACTCTTTCTTTTGTTATCTGATAAGAATGATTTTAAGATATTTCAGACTTTGATATAGTTATGAAAAGGTGAATCAATGAGATATAGAAGACGCTGTAACTTTAAAACTATTAAAATTATCCATCAAATCTAGATTTGATCAAAATTTTAGAATCGTTTAAGAATTACGAGATGCTACTAAAAGTGATGAATTCTTTATAACTTTTGGAGATAATTCTGACCACAACAAGGCCTCCTACAGCCACAATTTTCTAGAAGAAATATTGGAAATTTTGAGGGCTGAGTGGGAAGGAGAGGTGGGAGAGGGGTTGGGGTTGTGTTGAGAGGAAGCAAATTTTGGGGAGGATGGAAGAGAAGAGGGGGATTTTTAGAGGTTTTGAGGGATTTTGGGGCTTTGTGAAGGGAAATTTGTTTAAGATAGAGGGGATATGTAGTTCGGTAGGAAAAATAGGAGGTAAAGTATGATAGGTTTAGGAAAGATTGTAGAATTTGGAATAAGTTCTAAATTTTTATATCCAATTTTTGACGATAATAAATTGGCAAGATTTTTCTGGGAAGTTGGAGTATCTTTGATGAAATTTTTGGGAAGAAATGAATCTTTGAGAGAATTGGAGATGCTTTGATTTTGATTGAAGAATGGAGTTACTTACCTGGACTGGAATTCATTTACACTTCTGAAATAATCTTCAGGGATGTCTTTCTTCTCCTCTAAGTTATCATCTTTAAGCCACATTGTGTTCCGTTCTTCTTTTGACAGAGCATACATGAATTCATCATCCTCAGTCCTTTTGCGAGATATCTTAGATTCTTCATTATCTTGGTCCCGTTGGAGCTGAATTTGCTGTTCATCTTGAAGATCTTGGAAGTTTGTATAGTTTTTCCGTTTTTCTATATGCTCAAAATCTTCATCCTGATCACTAGATCAGCATTCTTCAGTTTCTCTTACAACAGAGTAATCGTCAACTTCAACAGCTACTTCTTTATTAGTAACTTGCTCATAATCTATATGAGGACATTTTGATATCTTAGCAGTGTCAATCCATCCTTCAGTTTTGCATTTGGTGCATGTGTCAATTGTGTTAAAGCAGATTCTCTCTCCCATTTCTTTAGTTGGATGTGGAGAGCGCTCTTCAATGATTTCATTGATGCGACTCCACTCCTTCATCTGTTTGGGCATCTTCATTGCTCACCGCTCTCAGACATCATTGAGTTCTGTCTTTGAAGTGCAGTGTTCACAGTAGTCCCTCATGATCACAGAAACTTGGAAATTTTTGTGGAACTTCTTGCTGACCAGCACTGAGTCAGGAGATATCTGGTTCCGAGGAATCACCAGCTCATTTTCAACAAAGCCTGTGTTGATCGAGAACCTGCAAATGTTTGTATTGCTGAAAGAACCCTTGTGCTTGATGAAGAAGTGGGCGTCTCCTGCAATAACCAAGTTCTTTTTCTCAGGAACAATTTTGATGATGTTGAACTCTTCTGTCTCTTTCGGGCCAGCCTTGTACTTCCTCAAGTTGATCGAGTTCTTGGTAGAGTACATTAATTGGTAGTCTCCGTTTCATATGTCTACATATGGCTTGCATCCGTTCTGGTTGATTTTCGGAATGGTTTTGATCACAATACATTCGAGAATCTTTGGCACAGGTCAGAGAACTTCGCGCTTGAGCGCTCCTTCAAAGTAGTGGATGTACCTTAGCTGGCAAGGCTGACTGACACCTCTACCAGTGCTGAAGCGTTTCCATCCGTAGTAGTTGATAGCATCAGCAGAGTTCTTCGAGAGTCCTCAGTACATCAAGAATCAAGCAATGGATGTGCCAGTACGGCCTTTACCAGCGTTGCAGTGGACCACAATAACATTGTCATCGTTTTCTTGCAAAAACTCGTACATGCGCTTGCAAGCTTCGAAGAGCACAGCCACTTTGGGTGCATGGTGATCTCTCCAGTCGTAAGCCTCCACTTTGTTGTCAAACTTTGCATAGTTGTACTTGCGATCACTGAAGTTGAATACCAGGTAATTGTCTCCGTGTTTTTCTTGGAGAAACTTGGCAACTTTGGAGATGGGGTTGCGATAAATCTTCTCCATACCTTCGGCAGGGAAAGACATCGCGATGATTCGAGGTGTAATGTAAGTAATATCAAGGTTGTATTGGTCCTGAGTATACCTATTTCTTTTACCTGAAGCTAATTTTCTAAATAAGTTCATTTTTAATATATTATATAAATAAATAACTCAATTTTTAGCCATCACCCTGGGGTTTTGGGGTTTTGGGGTTTTGGGGTTTTGGGGTTTTGGGG